CTCGAGAGCAAAGCGGCGGCCGAGCCCGGCGCGGTGGCACGGGGGGCCGGGGGATTTGGAGGACCTGTCTGGGATGGCCAGCACCTGTTTCCCATCACTTCCCAGGCAGCAGAAGACAATCCCTGGCTCAGCAGCCCGGGATATACAGCCGACAGGTGACGTACCCCGGCATCTCTCCGGGAGACCCCCAGCCCGGCACCGCGGGGGCCCCTCGCCGGCTGCTCCCGGGCACCGCTGCGTGGGGCGAAGAGGAGGGATGGAGGGTTTTTTCCCTCCTGGAATCCCCAAGCTGCTGCATGGCTCCAAAAACTTGCTGCACCTCTGCTTGGTTTGGCTTTGCCACGTGCCACACCTCCCCACGCCTTGCCCCTGCAGTTGGTTTTTGTATTCACCCTATAAAGTCTCAACAAATCCTGTCCCGAGTGAGGATGAAAGATTTATCTGGAGTGTTTGCTCAGCAAAAAAAACTTTTGTTTTGTTTTGTTTTTCTTAATTAATTAATTTAAAAGGAAAATATTCTTGCATCTGATGTCAACACTAGTCCGTAGCTGCTCTCCAACACTTGTACCATTCCTGAGTTGTTTGGGTTTGTTGGTTGTTGGTTTTTTTTTTTTTTGGACTATCCTTTTATTTTTTTATTCCTTTGTACAGTCAATGTTGTTCAACTGATTATACATGGTTTTGTTTTGTATAAATTAAACTCTTTTTTTTTTTTGGTTGGTTGGTTTTTTTTTTTGGTCTTTGTTTTGAACTACCAAGGAGAAGTTGTGTTGGTTTTTGTGGGAGCTGGGAAGAGGTTGAAGGAAAAAGGTGATGGTTTTACCCAGCCCTGGGGCTGTGGGGCTGCTCGTGGGGCAGGTGGGTATTGCCATATTGCCACATCCAGATCATCCACAAAGTAATTCCCATTACATTTTCTGGGGAGACTTAAAAGTCAAGACTCCTGGCTCTGGGTGGGTTTTTGCCCTTCTCTATAGATGCAGAAACTAAATCTGTTTTTATTAAAGGCTTGATTCTCGCAGAATTGCTGACTGTTTGGGTGGGGGAGCTCTGAGAAAGGGCAGACTGGTCTGCAACACGTTTGGTGTCAGTGGTGGCCATCAGAAGCTGGGCTCCCCAGTTGGACAAGTCCAGTGGGAGCCTCACGTCGCCTCTGGGACCTCACTGGTGTCACCATATGGGGGTGTCCCTAGGGCTGGCACTGAGAGGCATCGCCTGGGAAGGGGGTTTGCTCCTGGAGTGGGGGGAAACTTCTCCTCGCCCCATCCTTTTCTCCCTGGCTCCCAGCCCACCTCCCCTTGACCTCCCTTTTCCCCTGCCGACTCGCTTCCCTCGGATCAGATTTTCCACTTCGTACCAGACTGGCCACGCTTGTTTTAACAGCTTAACTTGTAATTGCCGGGGCTGGGAGGGGGCAGGGGGGGAAATGAGATAGTGTCTGCAGCCGGGAAAACCCTGGAGCTAAGGTGAAAGCCTGGTCAGGGAAGAGTCGAGGAGGCTTTTTTTTTTTTTTTTTTTTCTCCTTTTCAGGGGGGGGTCTGGAAGTGTCTGTTCCCTCTGGCCGTCGGAGCCGAAACAAAGGCTGTGTGTGGTTTCAGGTGGGGAAGGGACAGCCGGAGCCCATTAGGCTGGAGCAGCGGGGGCTGAATCAGGATGAGAAGGGCAAGAAAACACCCTGAGCGGTGGGGGAAAGGCTTAAGGGTCCCTCTTCCCTGGAAAAAGAGGAGGGAGCAGGTTGCTCGGGGCTAGTTCAGGCCTTTCCTAGTTGGGTGCCTTGCTCCCAACCCACCTTCCCCATTCGAGGGTGTCTTGGTTGGTCCCGCCATCCCCCCGTGGGGTTGTGCTGTGGAGGCTGGGAAGAAATGGTGGCCTGTGCCCAAAATGCTTGAAAAGGAGGATGCGCCTTCCCTTGGGTGCCCCAGGGTGGGGGAAGGGGAGCAGAAGCCCTCCACCCTGGGTGCAGGGGGTTACTGGAGTGGGGAAATGGCACCGTGTTCATCCCTCCGGGACGGGGTCCTGAGCCACTGCCCTTGGCTCAAAGGGAGAAGATGAGCCATAAAACTCACATGGGGGTCTGGGATCTTTGAAAGCAACCCAAAAATAGCCCATTTCGAGGTGCAGTGGGTGCTGGGACGCGTGGAGGCAAATAGTTGGGAGAGACTGAAGTTACAGCTGCTCTAAGCCTTTAGATGGTGTGAGTCCATCGCGGGCTTGGTCCAGGGTGGGGGAGTCACTCTTTCTTTCATCTTCTGATGAAGAGGAGTTAGAAGGGACTGGGGGGGGGGGGGGAGATCCCTGGGTATGGATGAGGGTCTCCAGTTGTTGGGAGCTGCATTTCCAGCTGCCTGGTGTCCAGCATCCCTCCCTCCAGCCTCATGCTGCCGTGGCAAAGGATCCCAGCAGATGCTCATCCCCACCTCGACACTTGATCTCGGTGACACGGGAATGGGGCAACTTGGGCTCCTGTGTGACAAAAACATGGGTGACCTCTTGGGGGCTGCTCCTCCGGCTCCGGAGAGGGGACATTTGGGGACCCAAACTCCAGCACCAGCATCTTGCCAGCCCGTGTTGCTGTGACCACATGTCCCTTAATGTGGGGATGGGTGAAAACTGGGTGCCAGGTTTTCCCTACCCCCCCATTCCCTCCCTCCTGCACCAGCTCCTTCAGAGGGACCCTGGGGCACCCCTAAGTGGCTCTGTGCCCCCCCAGGCTGTATCCTTGGGGATGAAGGGGCCGTGGCAGCCCCCCGAGATGGGTTTGGGGGTGGGGGATCTGCAGGCAGTGGGGTGCTGGCAGCGCCCACTTGGCACCCAGTGTCCAGGGTGGCCCAGGTGGGTCCGGGGAGGGGGGGACACAGGCAGAGTGTGGCCCGTGGCAGCTCCCAGGCCATCCTGATGCAATTCCCTGTTTGCAAAACATCTCGCCAACCTCCCCGAGGGTGTCCTGGGGCGGCACAACCTCCCCTCCGCGTCCAGGGCCGGCAGGACCCTCGGGCTTGGCTGTGAAACTGGGGTCACTGGGCACAGCCAGGGGACACACTCCAGCCCCCCTCTGTGCCTGGTCACGGGAGCTGATGTCAGGCCTGACCGGCCTTTGGGGGTTCAGCTTCCCCCCCCCCCCCCCCCCGCGGGCGGCCCCGGCG